GGGCTCTGGGTGTTCCCTGTGTTCTCCCTTTAATCTTGGGAGGAGCAGAGAGAAAAAGGGGAGAAGAAGAAACACAGAAGTGAGGAATATCTGCTGCAGGTGAGCCGGGGAAGTGGGATAAGGAACGGCTTTGATCCATCTGGGTTCTGGAACACAAGCACTGCCCATCCCCTTGCAACAAGAGTGAGCCCCAAATGAACCTCCTGCAGCAGCTGCAGCCCCGTCACTCCTGGTTCCTGCTGGCAAAATCTCTTTCAAAGGCAGCTCAGCACATCCCAGGCTGGATCAGGTGCCCAGGAAAGGCTGTCAATACACACAGAGAATCTCCTTCCCCACTCTGAAGAGACTGACTGTAAAAATAACATGTAAACCCGGGTTTAAAATAAATAACTTAATACCCAGGACTACTTCAGAAAGGCACAGTTGGTTGTACAGAGCTTGTTTAGGTTTTACAGGGTTCAAGTTATGGACAATCATCAGTTTGAGACACTTGGTTATTGGAATATCAGCTCCACCCTCATGCCAGGGAGTTGTAAAGAGTAAGAAGGTCTCCCCTGAGCCTCCTTTTCTCCAGGCTGAGCCCCCCCAGCTCCCTCAGTTGCTCCTGCTGCTCCAGCCCCTTCCCCAGCTCCGCTCCCTTCCCTGGACACGCTCCAGCCCCTCCATGCCTTCTGGCAGTGAGGGATTTTATGGAGCCTCATGGTCAGGACACACCACCAGCAAAACCTGCCCCAAACCCATTTCCCTGCAAAACTTCCCACCCAGGTCCCTTTTCTTGGTTATGGGGGAACCAACCTGCCAGGGGGGGGTTCCACCCCCCACCCTCCCCCAGTCCCATCCAGGGGAGAAATTCCCGCTTGCCAAAGACAGCTGGAGGGGGCTATGGATGATTGGACGGGGAAAGGCAGCGCGGGCTGCTCGTTTAACAGCTCATTATTCACGTCCCTGATGCTTTCCCTGTGTTTGGCAAATAACGCCTGTTTAGCACCGAGATGGTTTAAGCGGCTGATCTGATCTGATCTGAGCCCCCGGCAAAGAGGATGAGCCTCAGAGCGCCTTGAGCTCCCAGAGGCTGCCCCAGAGATGAGGAATGTGTTGTTATCAGCATCCCGAAAAAAAATCCCGGGGATGGGAAAAGCCAGACAGCGACAGGATGAAGGAGATGGAGCTGCTCCTGCTGCCCGAGACTGGAGGAGGTGAATGGACCCGTCCCTCGTCCCCCGCAGCTTCCAAACCACCAAAGGCCCTCTCCAGCTCTCCTGGAGCCCCTTTAGGCCCTGGAAGGGGCTCTCAGGTCTCCCTGGAGCCTTCTCTTCTCCAGGTGAAACCCCCCCAGCTCTCCCAGCCTGGCTCCAGAGCAGAGGGGCTCCAGCCCTTGGAGCATCTCCATGGTCTCCTCAGGACTCTCTCCAACAGCTCCACGTCCTCCTAGTGCTGTTCCCCGGGGCTGGAGGCAGCTCTGCAGGGGGGTCTCACCTGAGTGGGGCAGACGGGCAGAATCCCCCCCTCCCCTTTAGGACATGGTGGATTTTGGGGCTGCCAGAGCCCTCAACTAGGCCATGTGGACCTTCTCAGCAACTTCATTCAACCCAGTGGTTTGGTGTTGGAGGTGGGTAGTGCCACCTCTGCCACGTTCCCACGAATGCTTCCTGGCACGAGAACATCTCCTGGGGTGGGAGATCCTCCCAGCTTCTCCTTTTCTGGGGTTTGCTCCTGGTGCAGGTGACTGGAGGAGGTGAATGGACACGTCCCTTGTCCCCATGTCACCCAGCTGGGATGGCAGGTGGCTTCCAACCCACCTGCAAACCAGGGACTGGTCCTTGGTTGGTTGAGGGAGCTCCAGTGGAGCAAAAACACGGTATCACATTTGGGGGGATTTCTCCCATCAGGATTTAACCACATTTTTTTTTCCAAAGAATTGCTGCATTCTGAATTTTTTCAAGGTTTGTGAGTGGTTTTTCTTTGGCTGGAGTATTTTCTTGCAAACCTTCTCATCAGTTTTGATCTGTCCCGAGAAAGGTTTTTTTGCTTGGAGATTTGAATATCAAAGATGCCACCAGTCCCTGTGCAATGGCTGGGGCAGCCCAGGAGAGGCACCAACCCATCCCAGCAGCTCCCAAGGGATTGGAGCCCACCCTGAAATGGGAGAAGGGGGAAATGCATCATTGAAGCAGAAACCATCCACAGGGAATCATGGAATGCCCTGGGTTGGAAGGGACCTTAAAGCTCATCTTCCTCAGTCTTTCCAAGTGATGACAGAGGAAGGCTTTGGGATGAAGGGAGAGGCTGGGATTTGTCCAAGCACCAGGGATGGTGGCCCTGCTCTGGGAAGCTGCAGGATGTGGCCACGGGGGCTTGTGCCCCATGGTGGGAGGGGGGGTTGGCACCAGAGATGTCACCTTGGTGACAGCCATAAACCCACCCCCATTCCATGTTCCATTGGCTCCAATCGTGCTGCTGCTCCGTGGATTTTAGGGGTGAAGGTTCAGCCTGGCTGAGGGTCCCTCCTCCTCCTCCTCCTCAAATGTCCCATCACTACTGGAAATGACCCCCGGGAGCTCCTGCCCCCTCCAGCCGTGGGAAGGGAGGACACAGAGGAGGGGGGGGAATGAACTGCTGAGCTCCCACCTCCAGGAAAGCTCAGGGGCTTCCTTAGGAATATTCCCCTGGGATTAACCGCCTCCCTTTCCCCACGGGGAGCTCTAGAGCAGCACAAGTTCTCAGGGCTGGCTCAGTCCCCTCTGCCAACCCCCGGCTCAGCTCAGCCTGCACTTGATGAAGTGAGAACGATGCCCTTCCTCCCGTTAATTCCCAGATCTTTTTCCTTCCCCCCTCGGGGCACAGCAGCGGCTGTAACATCATCAATGATTCAGGAGCCGAGCCAGCTGAAGACAAAGCTGATGGATGACGGTTCTGTTCGGGGGGGGGGAGGAATGTTTTCCTGCTGGAGATTTTTGGGAAACAAATCTATTTATCCTCGTTCCAAAGCGAAACACACCCCCCAGCCCGAGTGACTCAGCCCTGAGTCAGGGAACAGCAGCAGCAGGAGCAGCACGGAGGGATCCAGGCTGGGCCAGGGAAGGAGGAGCAGGAGCAGGCACAGGAATTTGGGCACAGGACTCCTCCAGTTCTCCCTGCTTTTAAGGGGTTAAACCAATTTTAGCCCGTTTTGCCCTTAGGATGGAACTTCCCGAGGCTCCAGGTTGGGCACTGAAGCAACAGGTCCCACTTTGCTGGAAGTGGCACCAGGACAAACATTGTGCCCTGGCTTTGGGTAAAACCCCCCAAAACAGAGGGGGGAGAGTTTTTTGGGAGGTTCCTGGGCAGCACTGGGGGCAGGAAGGGGGATGGGGACCCCTTGCACCCTCAGCAGCACCATCAGCTGAAGGATGGCTGTGATCCAGCTGGAAACCTATGGAAAATGGGTTGGAATTCCCCAATTATTAAACCAAATATATTTAGAGCATCACAAGATGGGCTGATCCTGCAACCATGACACTGGATAGGTTCTTCCCATCCGGGATCCTTCCCTGACCTTTGGCAGAACAGAAAACTCCTCATTGAAGTAAAGCCACTTTTTTCCCAGGTACATCCCATTCCACTAAAGTTTCCCTATGGACACCACCACCCCCCCCAACCCCAGTAGTGAGAGCCAACCTGTTCTAAACGCCAGAAGTAATTCCAGGTGTTGGAAAGAGGACAAAGCCCCCCATTCCCAGCACATCCAGAGCACGATCCCAGAGCTCAGCAGAGCCCCACCAGGGCTCCAGTTTAGTGTGTCCCCAAAACAACAGAGATGGGGACTTGGAAATTGTCCATCTGGGAACTCCCTGTGCAGGAGGATCACAGGGGTGTCTGTGCTGGAAGATTTTCCCTGAGCTCGAGGTAATTCCAGAGGAATTGCAGGGGTGAATCCTGCCCAAAGTGCTCCTGGAGCAGCCTGCAGGTGCCAGCTGGAGCCCAGGAGGGACAGGCAGGTGGGATGTGGCCCTGGTTCCACCCTGCCTGGCACCAGGGCAGGGAAAGCACCATTCTTCTAGGACAGCTCAGGTGCCAATTCCCATGGGAATGCTGGGCACTGACCTCAGGAGGTCACACACCTCATCCCTCCAAGCCCTGGAAAACAGTGGGGAGGAGCAGGGAGAGGATGGAGGGAGTGTGAGGACACAGGGAGGATCAGGAGAGGGATGGAGGGAGCACAGGGAGCACATGGGAGATAGATGGAGGGAATGTGAGGACATGGAGAGGAGCAGGGAGGATGAAGGCAACATGAGGACACAGGGAGAGGATGGAGGGAGCATAAGGACACAGGCAAAACCAAGGAGAAGAATGGAAGGAGAATAGGGAGGACATGGGAGAAGGATTGAGGGAGTGTGAGGACTCAGGGAGGATCAAGAAAGATGGAGGGAACATGGAGACACAGGGAGGATCAGGGAGAATCCTTCCCTGGGAGGGTGGGGAGGCCCTGGCACAGGTTGGGCAGAGAAGCTGTGGCTGCCCCATCCCTAGGATTGTCCAAGGCCAGGTTGGACAAGGCTTGGAACAACATGGGCTAGTGGAAGGTGTCCCTGCTCATGGTTGGAGTGGGAATGAGATGAGCTTTAATGTCCCTTCCAACCCAAACCATCCCAGGACTGTACAATTCCATCAGTTGCCCGGCTCACACATTTTTATATATTTTTACTGTCTATTAATCTTTTCTGAAGCTCAGAAAGCAAAACTGTACTTAATAGATTGCATTTCCTGCATCCTGCATCTTCCAACCCAAACCATCCTGGGATTCTACGATTTTCTGAAATTATGGCCAAGAAGGGCATCCCTCACCCCCAGACACACCAATGCTCTCCCTTCCCCTCCACGTCCTATAAAGAAAAGAGATATTACACAACATTTGTGCTTTTGATCTCCTTAAAATCAATTTAACATCCCCTCTCACAAAGCCTTGCACAGCAGCCACACATCAAAGGTGCTCTAGGCAAAAGTACTTTTATTTCCTTTTTTTCTTTAGAAACACTTTTTACAGCTTAAGAAACGGGCTTGCTTTTAAAAAGAAAGAAAATCACTATCCCAGGGACTCTCAGCATCCACAGCTCTGTGGGGTGAGAAGGTTTGGGGACCTTGCCATGAGGGGGGAGTGCTGGGAACACCTTTGATCCAAGCTGCTGGAGTTCCACAGGGAAACAACCCCCCACCCCGAGTAGGATTGAGGTGTGGTCTCACCTCCAGCCCTGGGTGTGAATTAAAGCTGTTCCTGCTGCTGGTTCCATCCCTTCCTGGGAAGGGTTTGGCTGGAGCAGCACCAGGGAGGACCTGGAGCCCTGAGGGAGGAGGGGCTGCCCATGGGTGGGAGCCATGGAAGAGGTGTGGGAGCCAGAGCTTTGCCTGGTTCAGCCACCTGGGAACTGAAGGCCCGGGAATGTGCCCAGGGGTTTGCACACAGAGCCTCCAACCCTTGGGAATTCAGCAAAGAGGGAAAGGGAATTCCCTCCTTATTTAAAAGCCATTTTCCAGCCAGGCTCCAGCACTTCCAGAGTGCCCAGGGTATCCCAGAGCAACCCCTGACCTTGTGCCTGGATGTCACCTCTCCAAAGGAGAGGAGTTGGTTTCTTGATCCCAGAGACCTCGACTGGGTCCAGTTTCCTTCTCCCCCCCGTTCTCCCCATCCAGAGGCTGTGGAGCTTCCCAGGGGAGCAGGGGGAGCTTCATCCCTGATGTCCAGCTCCTATGGACACTGGGCACACACAGCCAGGGCTCTGAGGGATTGTACATGTTGTTCAGGGCTGCTGGGAGTGGGATAACACTGCTCAGAAACATCCATTCCCAAACCCAGGAAGCTGGAAGATACTTGGAGAGGTATCAGAAGTCACAGCTGGTATCAATAGGGGGGCTGTTACTCACGCTATTCCCAAGTTTCTTGGATGGGATGAGGTTTTTACAGGAATTAAATACATAAACCTGAACTAAGTCCATGCAATGATATTCCCAGCAGGGATCAGGTTCTTTGATCCAGGTCCCACCTGCCCTGATCCAACAAGCTCATGGGGTTGAAATCCCCGTGGCACTTTTCCTCATGGATGTGGAATGTTTTGTTGCCAAGCCGGGGGCCAGACGTGCCAGGCTCTCCTCACAGAGGGCACTGGAATCCAAGGAATGCTCCTGCTCCATATCCAACTCCAAACTACATCCAACTGCTCCACATTCAACTCCAAACCACATCCAACTCCAAACCATGTCCAACTCCAAACACGGCCACGGCTGCTGCCTCCCCACCAGGCTGCTGGGAAATCACTGCCATGAACCATTTCTGATTTGGGAGAGAGAATGTTATAAATATTTTCATCCAGGAAGCCCTAAAACCAGGAAGGAAGGGTGAACTCAAGGCTTGACCCTCCTGCTCAACAGCAAACGTGGGATAACGTTGACAGGAAGATCCAAAATCCGTGTCAGCCGGAAACGGAGCCCCAAAGCTCAGCAGCCAGAGATGTCCCGTGCCTTGTTCCTCCGCTGGAATCTGACATCCAGAGGGTCAAATCCCCGCTCCCTGGCCCCAAAGAGAGCCCAGGGAGGAGTCCTGGCCGTGTAATCGGCCGCTGTGAAGGTCCTGGAGCCGCCGCTCCGCTCGTGCTCCCGCACCAGCTCCTGGAAGCGCTCGTAGTCGATCCAGGTGAACCACTCGCCATCCACCTTGAACTGGAGGGAAAACAAACACGTTATGGAGCGATGGGAGGCACCAAATCCACATTCCTGCCAAGACAAGATGGGTTTGGGCTGAATGGATGCCAGCTGTTGTCGGTTTTAACTCTGTAGCCCCACTGAGGTCCAGGGTAAAGTCACCCCGAACGGCCTTCCCAGGAAACCAAAAGAAATTCAGGTGGATGAATATCCTCATCCCTGGGGTTGGGGAACACCTGCAGACAGACACAGGAGCCCTGGTTTTCTCACAGCTTTAGTCACTGAGAGCTGTTTGCTCACAGAAAATTGATTCAGCCCCTCTGCTCTGCCCTGGTGAGACCCCCCTGCAGAGCTGCCTCCAGCCCTGGAATCCTCAGCACAGGGAAGATGTGGAGCTGTTGGAGCAAGTCCAGAGGAGGCACCAAGATGCTCCAAGGGCTGGAGCCCCTCTGCTCTGGAGCCAGGCTGGGAGAGCTGGGGGTGTTCACCTGGAGAAGAGAAGGCTCCAGGAGACCTGAGAGCCCCTTCCAGGGCCTAAAGGGGTTCCAGGAGAGCTGGAGAGGGACTTGGGACAAGGCATGGAGGGACAGGACAAGGGGAATGGCTTCCCACTGCCAGAGGGCAGGGTTAGATGGGATATTGGAAAGAAATTCCTCCCTGTGAGGGTGGGGAGGCCCTGGCACAGGTTGGGTAGAGCAGCTGTGGCTGCCCCACCCCTGGAAGTGTCCAAGGCCAGGTTGGACAGGACTTGGAGCAACCTGGGCTAGTGGAAGGTGTCCCTGCCCATGGCAGAGGGTGGGACTGGATGATCTTAAAGATCCCTTCTCATCCAAACCATTCCATGATGATTTCCACGAGGGTTTGACTGTTGGATGCTTTGTTGGACCCTTCAAAGTACAGGATTCAACCCCCCCTCCAGCCCCACTTTCCAGGAGGAACACTCCCATGGAGCATCCCAAAGCCTTCCCAGGCCTGTCTGCAGTTCCCAGGTGACACTTACACCTGAAAGAACTGGACAAGCCCTGGAGGGGCTGGTGTAAACAGGGATTGGTGCCCAGGTGCCCCTTGAGTGCCAAGGTCAACCACAGCTCCCACTCAGACCGTGTGTCTCCAACTCCAGGGCAGCACAGCCTGGAAAAACGGCCCAGGAGCGGCATCAGAGCAGGGATTGGGATGGATTTGGACGATTCTTGACAGGGGCAGGAGGGCTGTGTTTGGGAAGAGGGGAGGATAAAGAGGTTTAATGACACGAATCCTCTTTCCATGTGAGAATGTGAAGAATTGCTTCTTTTGACAGGCTGGAGCTGCATTTGTCTCCCAGACCTGCTCTGCTAATTTAGCCACAGCCCTGACTGAATCCTCAATTAGGATTTATCTGAGCTAAGAGCTTATTATGCATTTCATCCAAAGGAAAAAAAAAGAGGGAAAACAGCCTGACTCCCTGGTTGTGGTGGGTTGGGTTTTTTTCCCCAAACTTGATGGCTGTGCATTTAAAGTGGCACTTGACTTTGTGCCCGAGAGCTAAAAGCTTTTTTGGTTGGAAAAGCTGCTGACAACTGCAAAATCCTGCACTCAAACATGGTTAGTGCTCATCCATTGCTGCCTCTGGAATTACAGCACGTTCCTGCTGGGATTGGCCTCCACATGGAGCAGGGAAGGGACACTGCAGAGTCACAGCTCTGGGGAAGGAGCCTTGGCAGAAACCAACTCACTTTTCCCATGCCAAGGTGGGTGATGTGTTGTGTGAGGCCACCTGTAAAGCAGGTGCCAAAAACCACCTGCTCCCAAACTCTGGAGCTCTGGAGACCTGGGTTCCCCTGCCAGGGCCTGGGGAGGTGGAAGGTGACAAGTTCACACAGAAGACTCTCTGCTCTCCCCAGATTTGATTCAGTCACACTCAGCAAATTCTCACACCAACTGATCCCCAATCCAGGGGATCCAGCAAAGCCTTGAAGGCACGTGGGAGACATGGAAGGTGTCGAGATTATTCCCATGATGGGTTTGGAGCATTCCCAACAGGTCACACAGGGGTCACCTAAGAGAAACCCAGCACAGAAAGAGAGCTGGGACTTGATATTGGCTCTTTTCCTTGGAAAATCAGGGCAGAATCACAGAATCATTAAGGTTGGAAAAGACCTCCAAGATCACTGAGTCCAACCTGTGATGGGTCACAAAGGGGTGGAAGGGGGGGGCTCACAAAGAGCCCTTCACCCCACGGCCAAGGGTGGCTCACCAGGAGCAGTAAAGCCCCAGGAGATGCTGGTGCCACCCAGAGCAGCTGGAAGGAGGACACGGGCTGTGGCCACCACCCCAAATGAGGGTGATGACAGTTCAACAAGGCCAAGTGCAAGGTCCTGCACCCGGGTCAGGGCAAAATCCAGGCCCAAATTCAGGCTGGGTGGAGCAGGATGGAGAGCAGCCCTGAGGAGAAGGGCTTGGGGGTGTTGGTGGATGAGAAGCTCAGCATGGAGTCATGGAATGGCCTGGGCTGGAAGGGACCTGAAAGATCATCCAGTTCCACCCCCTGCCATGGGCACAACCCAGCCCTGTGCCCTGGGCTGATCCCCCAGTGTGGGCAGAGGGCAGGGGGGGATTCTGCCCCTCTGCCCCCTCAGGTGAGACCCCCCTGCAGAGCTGCCTCCAGCCCTGGGAACAACAGCACAAGGACATGGAGCTGCTGGAGAGAGTCCAGAGGAGGCCACAGAGGTGCTCCCAGGGCTGGAGCCCCTTTGCCCTGGAGCCAGGCTGGGAGAGCTGGGGGGGTTCACCTGGAGCAGAGAGAGCTCCAGGGAGACCTGAAAGCCCCTTCCAGGGCCTAAAGGGGCTCCAGGAGAGCTGGAGAGGGACTGGAGACAAGGGATGGAGGGCCAGGACAAGGGGAATGGCTTCCCACTGCCAGAGGGCAGGGATAGATGGGATATTGGGAAGGAATTCTTCCCTGTGAGGGTGGGGAGGCCCTGGCACAGGTTGCCCCATCCCTGGAAGTGTCCAAGGCCAAGTTGGAGCAACCCAGGACTGCAGGGACCTGGGGCAGGAGGTGCCTGAGCAGAGGTGATGCCATGTGGAACGTGGGATATGGGAATCAGATCCCACTGCAGCTCCTGATCCCTGTGCCCACCATCGGCCACTTCTGCAGGCACAGCATCAAAGAGGCACCTGGAAAACCGATCCCGAGTCCCGAACTCCTCCATTCCGATCTGAGGATAAACAAAGGAGCTTTTCCACCCTCACGCACGGGGAGTGATTAAACAGCTCATAAATCAGGGCATTCTCAGCACCTGCCACTGCCAAGCTCTCCAAGACAAACAAACAATTCACGGAATCATTACCCACAGTTTCTCACCTAATTAAGGCTCACAATTATTTAAGGCTCCCTCTGTCTGACAGTGGCAGTGTCAGAGCTGGAGTCACTCAGCAAAATGAGGAGAAATATTGTGGAGAAATTGGAATCTGAGCAGGGTCATGTGCTGTTCAAAAAGCCACAGACTTTTCCTTTGTCATGATTAGTTGCAACCTCAGGCTTGAGGAGGAAGAAATTAGGATTAAGCTGGTTTTTAGGTACCAGATGCAGGGATGAGAAGGCAATAATGGCCTTCCACTAGCCCAAGTTGCTCCAACCTGGCCTTGGACACTCCCAGGGATGGGGCAGCCACAGCTTCTCTGGGAAATCCATTCCAGGGCCTCCCCACCTTCCCAGGGAAGAATTCCTTCCCAATACCCCACCTAACCCTGCCCTCCTTCCCCTTAAGGCCATTATTACCTTCTCCTCCTGCACCTGCAACTTAAAAACCAGTTTAATCTTAATTTCTTCCCCCTCAAGCCTGAGGTTGCAACTAATAATGACAAAGGAAAAGTTTGGAGCTTTCTGAACACCACATGGCCCTGCTCAGACTAATTTATCCACATAAATATCGTGTTTCCCAAAAGAATGTAACAACCCCAAACTGACCTGATCTGAGCCTGTGCCCCTGGGAGTTATTGTAAAGAAAAGCTTCATTATTGCAGATTTATTTGGGTTTAATCCCCCCCCTTCACTGAGTGGAGCAGCTCCTCTGCCAATTAAGCCAGGGCTGCATCCAGACAGTTTTAATTCCAATGGATCAAACCAGGATTACTGCAGCACAACAGAGATCTCCTGTTAATAACTAAAATATCAAGCCCAGCAGAGCCACCTTCCTGCTGGAAGGGGACACAGGAAAGGCAGAAAACCTGCAGGAAACACAACATTCCCTGCTCACACCTGCCCTGGGGGGGTTGTTTGGCTGCTTGGCCCCACCTGGGATCTGCCCCATCCCCTGGGAGTGTTGTGGCCTCACTCCAAGCAGCTCCCCAAGGCTGGTTTTCCCCTTGCCCTGTGATGCTGCCTCCGGATCCAGGATCACAAGGACATGTCCCACTCTCCAAATAATTTGCAAGGCAGGAAGGAAACGGGATGTGATGGACTCTCTGTCTCTGTTCTCCCCCCTGTGAGTGCAGCTGGGAGTTAAGTGCTTCCTCTCCCTCCCTAAATATAGACAAAAAGCTCAGCATGGAACATCTTCACCTCCTCTGCAGCCTCTCCAAGCACAGCCAGGACACCCATGGAGCCTCCACAGCCCTCACAGGGACAACACTGCCAAGGAAAAGGCCAATTCCCACTTTTCTGGGAGGATTCTGTGGTTGATGGAGAGTGCTGAGCACCTTTGGACAGGATCCTATGTCCCCCAACTCATTTCAGATCAAGTCACCCCTGACAGCAGCCTTGGCACACCCCCAGCACTGCAGGGCCATGGACTCATGGAATGGGTTGGGAAGGGATATTAAAGCTCATCTCATCCCACCCCCTGCCATGGGTAGGGACATCTTCCACTGTCCCAGGGTGCTCCAACCTGGCCTTGGACACTCCCAGGGATGGGGTAGCCACAGCTTCTCTGCCCAACCTGGGCCAGGGCCTCCCCATCTGAACAGGGAACTTTGATCGTGGCAAATGAACTTTATTCCCAAAAGCATCTCCCTGGGATCACCTGGGCATGACAGGGACACCCTGCCCTGCTGGAGGACACAACACCATCCCAGGGCACATCCAACAGGGCAACAATCCAAGGGGTGACACAAGGGAGGGCTGGAGCACCACCAGGGAACATTTGGATCCCGGGCAGGGACACTCTGCTTCTGGAATTCTTTGCTTTAGGTTGTAGGGAGATGGATGTTGGTCTCTTCTCCCAGGGAACAAGAGACAGGACAAGAGGAAATGGCCTCAAGTTGTGTCAGGGGAGGTTCAGGTTGGATATCAGGGGAAAATTCCTTCATGGAAAGGCTGGTCAGGCACTGGAAGGGGCTGCCCAGGGCAGTGGTGGAGTCCCCATCCCTGGAGGTGTTCCCAAAACATGTGGATGTGGCACTTTGGGACAGGATTTTGTGGTGAACACGGTGGATGGGGCTGGGATTTTCCAACCTTTCCAGTTCCATGATTCCCAGTCAGACATATCAGGTTTATAAAGGCAGAAAAGGCTGAAGGCAGTTAACTGAGAGCTCCAGAGAGAGCAAAGCACTGGGATTCCAGGAATATTCCCAGTGCTCTGCATGGTTAATTGCCATGGAAATCAACCCTGGCACCACAGGGAAGAGGCAGGGATGCTCAGACATGGAATCACGGTGTTCTACCAGAGAATTATGGAATCCCAGGCACCTGGGAATTATGGAATGCCGGCCTGGCTGAGGAGCAGAGGGAGCAGCACTGACAAGGAATTTGTGTCTGGAAAGCAACAGGGAAGTGGAAAAAAACCCACCTGCTCCAGCAAGGGAGAGATTTAAATGAACAAACCAGGAGAGAATTGTCAGGAAGCACTTTGGGAGAGGGTGGAATACACAGGTAAAGCAAATTCAACCTGGTGGGGCAGAAGGTTTTAGCCTAGAAACGCCCAAGGGGTTAAATTTCATCCATAAAAACCTTCCCTGCAAGGAAGTCACAGCACATTCCCCCTTTCTTAGGCACTTGTTCTGGTCATCCTGAGGATACATTGATTGTTCCAAGCCTGGAAAAGCAGCAGCCTGAGGTCCCTCTCTGGAAAAGGTCACTTGAATTCAGTGTTAATTAGAAAGGTGTCGATATTTCAGCCCGTTAGTTCCAAAGTGCTGCCATAAATCACGTTTTTGGGACCATGGTGTTTATGGGATTTACTAGAAAGCAAATGGAATTCCTCAGGAATTCAGCACTGTTGCTAAAGAACCCGAGAGGATGGAGCCCAAACACACAGGGAACCTCTCAGCGAGATGGGAACCACTGGAAAGCTGGGAGGAAGAGGCAGAAAAGGCAGGGAAGGGGAGATCCTACATCCATGGGAGCCCAGACCAAGCCAAGGAGGGCTGCACTCATCCTTCAGAAGGACACAACTCATCCCTGGAAGCCACCAAGGCCAGGTTGGATGGGGCTTGGAGCAAACTGGGCTATGGAAGTGTCCCTGCCCATGGCAGGGGGTGGGATGAGATGAGCTTTAAGGTCCCTTCCAACCCAAACTATTCCATGATCCTAAGAAACTGATGGCTCCAAAACCATGGAAATCCCAGTAACTAATGGATTTTCAGGTCACAGGTGTTCGCTGTGTTCATTTTTAGGGCTCTGTGAAGGGCAACTGGAAAAGGAACATTTTGCTGTAAGGCTTCAGTTTATAAGACCTTTTAAGCTCTCCTGGGATAGTCCAGCAGAGGCAGATCCAGAGCTCTCCTGGGATAGTCCAGCAGAGGCAGATCCAAAGCTCTCCTGGGATAGTCCAGCAGAGGCAGATTCAAAGCTCTCCAGGATTAAGTGGGACACATTTCAATCCTTGAGCCTCCCTGAGTCCTCAAGCTCCCTTCCTCAAGCTCCTCTCCTGCCCCCCCAGACACATGTTCAGACACCAGGAAGCAGGGAAAAACAAGGGATGTGTATGTGGGAAGAGACTTGGAAGCTCAATAGGAGATTTTGAAGACACTGAAGAACCCCCCAAATATTCCCCAGCTCCAACCCCGGGGTCACCTCTTCGCTCCAGGAAGAAGAAAATAACACCAGCCCTACAAACTGCAGTTTCCTCTCCCTTAAATCCCTTTTTTCCCCCTAAATCCCTGGCCCTAGGAGACTCCAGAGCTTAAGTCCTAAACTATCATTCATCACACAAGCAGGTGCCAATCAATGACTTTCCATCAATCAAGGCAGGATGAATTATTTCTGACATTCCCAGACTCTTTTCCTGCAGGCTGTCATTCCATATTGATGTTCAAATGATGATGAGCATTGTTTGAACACCCCCAAATTCCGAACACAGGGAAATAATAAGTCCCATTTCTTAATGATTTTTATTACAGCCTTCCTGCAACTCCTTAATTTTTTAAAGAGCCCTTTGATTTTGCCATTCCTCGCTCCAGCCTGATCATTCCCAGGGCACAGGTTTTGCTGACAATAATAGACACTGACAAATTTTATTCTCCACTAGAGCCTGAAATGCAAAAATTAAAACCTAATCGAAATAAATCTATTTTTTATTAGTTATTTTAGTACTGGGGACAGATTGTTTCCCAAAGACACCCTCTGCTAATGGCTCTGGAAGGCAAAGCAGCTGCTGAATTCCTCCTGGGCAGGTATCAATTCATTCTTGTTACTAATGGTGTTACTTAAATTATGCATCAATAGGGTCGGTGCAATCTGCTTGTTTTCCTTCCCCTGGACCTTAGAATGGAAAAGAATATTTGGATTTCTCAGGCACAGTTGCCAGTGGCAACAACCAGAAGTGAGGCTGTAAATAAAGCAAATTTTAGGGGGCTTAAAACAGAGTTAGTGCCAGGTATCCTGGTCTTCTCTGCTCCCATAAAAATAAGGACAGTTTAGGAACTGTGCAGGGGTTTTCAACAAGGAGATTCTGACAATTATCAAATGTGGTTTGAGCAAAAGGGAGTAGGGATAGATGGATATTGAGAAGGAATTGTTCCCTGTGAGGGTGGGGAGGGCCTGGCACAGGTTGCCCAGAGAAGCTGTGGCTGCCCCATCCCTGGAAGTGTCCAAGGCCAGGTTGGAGCAACCTGGGCTAGTGGAAGGTGTCCCTGCCCATGGCAGGGGCTGGAATGAGATGGCCTTTAAGGCCTCCTCCAACTCAAAGCATTCCAGGATTCTACGATTCCATCAGCTGCCCAGCTCACACATTATTATATATTGTTATTGCCTTTCTATTAATCTTTTCTGAAGGTCAGAAAACAAAACAGCACTTGATGTTTTTTCATCTCCTGCATACTTTAAAAAGAATTATTATTCTTTTGGCATTTCACTCTTATTTCATTTCATTTCCCTTCCCTACTTGTGAGGGGGGGCTGCAAGAGAGAGGGGACAAGTTTTTAGCAGGGCCTGTTCTGACAGGACAAGGGGCAGAGGCTTTAAGGAGGGTCAATTTACATTGGATATAAGAAGAGTTTTGTACCAAGAGGATGGAGAGGCCCTGGCACAGGGTGCCCAGAGAAGCTGTGGCTGCCCCATCCCTGGAAATGTTCAAGGTCAGGTTGGAAGGAGCACATGGAATTCCAGGATAGTGTGGGTTGGGAGGGACATTAAAACTCATCCCATTCCACCCCCTGCCATGGGCAGGGACACCTTCCACTAGCCCAGGTTGCTCCAAGCCCCGTCCAACCTGGCCTTGGACACTTCCAGGGATGGGGCAGCCACAGCTTCTCTGGGCATCCTTGTCCCACTATCCCAGGGTGCTCCAGGATGCTCCCTCAGAACACTGTCCCCGCCACTGGACACCCCAATGCAAACACAGAGCCAAGGCAGAGCCCACACTGGATTTGTTCCTGCCTTCCTCAAAATGCAAAGGGAGTGAGACAAAGGCCAGGAGATCCAGCACTGAGTTTCCTTCCCAAAAGCCATCCAGATGGAAGTATCCATCCCAGAAATGTAATAGAGCTGGGGAAGGGGCTGGAGCAGCAGGAGCAGCTGAGGGAGCTGGGGGGGCTCAGCCTGGAGAAAAGGAGGCTCAGGGGGGACCTTCTGGCTCTGCAACTCCCTGACAGGAGGGGGGAGCTGGAAGGGTCGGGCTCTGCTCCCAGGGAACAAGGGACAGGAGGAGAGGGAACGGCCTCAAGCTGTGCCAGGGGAGGGTCAGATTGGATATTGGGGAAAATTTCTTCATGGATAGGGCTGTCCAGCCCTGGCACAGCTTCCCAGGGCAGTGGTGGAGTCCCCACTCCTGGAGGGATTCAGGAGCTGTGTGGATGTGGCCCTTGCGGACGTGGGTCAGGGGTGGCCTTGGCAGCACCAGGTTGGACACAACGATCTAAGGGGGCTTTTCCAACCTAAACAATTCCACGAAAACTCCGGAGAACAAACACATCAGAACCAGGCAGTCGTGCAGCACTTCCCAGGAGAAGCAGCAGTGGCTGGAATCCCCCCTGGCCCAGGGATGCTCACCTTGGTGTGGGCCAGCAGCAGGCAGTTGGAGTGCTCGTGCTCGCAGGCAATCTCGTAGTCGGGCAGGAGCTCGGCCAGGTCCTGCACAAACCCCACCACCTCCTCGTGCCAGGGCACGTTGGCCATGGTGAGGCTGCTGGCAGAGCTTTCTCCACAGTAGGTCACACCCTGAGGAGAGACATGGAAACCATCAGGAGTCAGGTTAACTCCTCCCGAGCTCCGGGTGGTGCTGGAATATCTGGGTTTGTCGCCCCTTCACAAGGTCACAAAGTTGGAGATGGCAGCAAAGCTCCATCTCTCCCTCAGTGACACATCCGTGTGCCCAGGTGTCCCTGGCAGCAAAACACAGGGTAGTGTTTCTCCTGGAAAGCAGCTTGAGGAGGATTCCAAGGGGGGATGGTCCTGAGTGACCGAGGGACATTCCAGAAGGTCACTTGGGTTTGACACACGACATCTCTAGAATAAAGTCTCATGGACATCCAGTGTGACAGGTCACTGTGCCACTCCTGGAGATACTGTCCCCTGTGTCACAGGGGTGACACCCCAGTGCTCCCATCACTCCCATCCCATTGCTCCCATCACTCCCATTCCCAGTGCTCCCATCATTCCCATTCCCAGTGCTTCCATCACTCATCACTCCCATCCCATCACTCCTATCCCACCACTCCCATCCCAGTGCTCCCATCACTCCCATCACTCCCATCCCATCACTCCCATCCCATCCCTCCCATCCCAGTGCTCCCATCCCTCCCATCCCAGTGCTCCCATCCCTCCCATCCCATCACTCCCATCACTCCCATCCCACCACTCCCACCCCCAGAGTGATCCAAGCCCCTGCAGCAGCCTCGAGCCCCTGGTCAGTGAATGGAACCCCTCAAGTTCTCCCACCCCCCTCCACCACCTTCAGCCTCACAACCACAGAACCCTTTGGAAAAGCCCTCCAAGACCATCGAGTCCAACCTTGGACCCATCCCCACCTTGTCCCCCAGCCCAGAGCACCGAGTGCCACCTCCAGTTGTCCCATTTTGGAACCAGCTGCTCCTAATTTGGAGATCTGATCACTTGAACCTCCTGAATTACTGATTTAGTTTTAGCCATGACCTCAAATCACTTGTTCCCTCTTTAATCAAGTCAGGAAAATTCTCTAAAATTGCTTCAGCAGCTGGTGGCTTGTTGAGATGTATTTTTATGTCTTTCTTTCTTTTCCTTTCTTTCTTTCTCTCTTTCTCCTCTCTTTCTCTCTTTCTTTTTTCTTTCTTTCTTTTCTTTCTTTCTCTCTCTCTTTCTTTCTCTCTTTCTTTTCTTTCTTTCTCTCTTTCTCTCTCTTTTTCTCTTTCTTTCTCTCTTTCTTTCTTTCTCTTTCTCTCTCTTTCTTTCTTTCTTTTCTTTCTCTCTCTTGTTCTTTCTCTCTCTCTCTCTTTTCTCTTTCTCTTTCTCTTTCTCTTTCTCTTTCTCTTTCTCTTTCTCCTCTCTTTCTCTCTCTCTTTCTTTTTTCTTTCTTTTTTTTCTTTCTCTCTCTTTCTCTCTTTCTTTCCTTTTTTCTCTCTTCCCTTCTTTCTTTTTCTTTCCCTTCCCTTCCCTTCCCTTCCCTTCCCTTCCCTTCCCTTCCCTTCCCTGAGTAGAACACTGTACAATACTGGACGTTTCTTAAACTCCAATTTGCCATCAAACCTGGGCAGGTCACTGGGTGCTCACAGGCAGTGGGTGGCCACACTCAGTGTCACCCCCTCAGAGTGTAAACAGTGGGGTAGTTTATGGGATCTTTTAACTGTCTGCCTAAAAATATTTGACAGATACTCTCCTGAGCCACTTAAAGTTCTTCTAATCAAATCCTTTGCTGTCATTTTCCCAGCAATTAATCTGTCACCAGCCAGAGGAGAAATAACCCACCTGCTCACAGGGTTGGCCCCAAACCCACCCAAAGGGGGAACACAAAGAAAAAGGGCTTTTCCCCTGCACAACAGCCCAGCTCTGGGCTGCTTTCAGCCCCTTTGCTCCTTGCCTGAGCTGTTTTATTCCAGTCACAAAATCCCATCGAGCCCAGCCTTTAAAACACGATTTGATGGCTGATTGTGTCTGGTTTTTCCCTCTGTGAACACTTCTTTTAAATGGCATTTGGACCCAAAGTTCACGTGTGTTGTGTCCACCCCACTGACACCCTGCTCCCAAATCTGATTTACCCGAGCTAAACTGCACATTTCATGGCCTGCAACAAACACACCTTTGCAAACACTTTCAATTAAGAGCAAGGTGAACCACACAGAGCTGAAACAGGGCTACAAAAGAAACAGCCTGCTGCTAATTAGCAACTGTACAAGTTTGGGAAGCAATTACTTTCTCACCCATAAATTAATGAGTGGCTCCCTCCATTAATCTGCCCAAGCAGCACAACTCAGAGCCAGCCTGGAAACAGGGGGATGGTGCTAAAAAGGGATGTACATTCGTTTTTATTTAGCCCAGCTCTGAAAGAAGCCTTTAAAAATATTAGTTCTATATTCGTTAGTCTTATTTAGAGCAGCCACAGCCACGCAAATGAGGGGTTATGGATCCCCAAAGTTCAGCTGGAGAGACACAGAAATATTTTCCCTGCATTTGTTACCCAGCTTATGGATTTGAGCAGCATGAAAAATGGATGAGGACAGAGGGGTAAAATTCTTAGGAAGCTACAACATGACTCACTCTCTTAGTAAACTCCAAAGAGATCATTTACAAGCAAAGGATGCACTGGAATAACTGAGGGCTCGGCTGGCTCATTAATTCCCAGCACAAATCAATGAGGATCAGCTTCCAGCACACCCAAGGAAAGCACAGCGGCTTTCAACCTCCCCAACTCCTTAAAACAGGAGTTAATTACCAGAGCTGATACCACTTAAAAAGGGGGAAGGGTTGATTAGGGCAGTCACGTTGTATTTGCTGGTAATACATGAAGACAGTTATTGAGACATCAAGTGTTGAGAAGGAAGTGATTCCATTGTTCCCCCCAGCTCTCACACCAACCTCCCCAGGCAGCAGCATCATCAACCCCCCTCTTAATTACCTCCTTAATGAGGGTGTTTTAGCATCCTAATCCACAGGGCTTTGGCCAAGTACCTTCTAACGCAGCAGCCTTTTGAAAAGCAGCTCCTGGTTCTGCCGGGATGAATCCAGAGAAACCCTGCTGGGCACTCCCTGGGGTTCACAGAACCATGGGAGGGGTTGGGTTGGAAGGGGCCTTAAAGACCATCCAGTTCCACCCCCTGCCATGGGCAGGGACACCTTCCACTAGCCCAGGGTGCTCCAACCTGGCCTTGGACACTACCAGGGATGGGGCAGCCACAGCTTCTCTGCCCAACCTGGGCCAGGGCCTCCCCACCTGAACAGGGAACTTTGGTCGTGGCAAATGAACTTTATTCCCAAAAGCATCTCCCTGGGCTCACCTGGGCATGACAGGGACACCCTGCCCTGCTGGAGGACACAACACCATCCCAGGGCACATCCAACAGGGCAACAATCCAAGTGGTGACACAAGGGAGGGCTGGAGCACCACCACAGAACATTTGGATCCCAGGTAGGGGGGACACACTGCTTGTGGAATTCTTTGCTTTAGGTTGTAGGGAGGTGGGTGTTGGGCTCTTCTCCCAGGGAACAAGGGACAGGACAAGAGGAAACAGCCTCAATTGTGCCAGGGGAGGTTCAGGTTGGATATCAGGGAAAAATTCTCTCTAATATCCCATCTAACCCTGCCCTCTGGCAGTGGGAAGCCGTTCCCCCTCGGCCTGTCCCTCCAGCCCTTGTCCCCAGTCCCTCTCCAGCTCTCCTGGAGCCCCTTTAGGCACTGGAAGGGGCTCTCAGGTCTTCTGGAGCCTTCTCTTTTCCAGGTGAACACCCCCAGCTCTCCCAGCCTTCCCTCCCAGCAGAGCTGCTCCATCCCTCTGACCATCCTGGTGCCTCCTCTGGACCTGCTCCAACAGCTCCATGTCCTTCCTGTGCTGGGACCCAGAGCTGATTTTCACGTGGCTGTGATGGAGCTGAGTGAGCACAACTATTGCCCAGAGCCTTGTGCCAGGGGGAGAAGCATGAGGAGCACATTCCCTCCCCCCAGGATCTGGATGGAGATCTGGACAGTCAGCATTTTAATCCATAGGGGCTCTGAAGGAAAGATTCCCGGGGAATTAAATATGACAGGGCTTTGTCTCTCAACTCAAACTCCAGACTTCCCAACTTAATTACTGAACAAAACAATTCCCTGAACTGCCAGCCCACAAATTATAAATTTCATTGAGACTCATGTGAATGAAGAGCAGAACAAAGTGCTGGCCAAGCTGCTGAGTGACAGAGCCACTGTTTAAAAACTGGGGCAGCCCTGACCCAGGACAAATATAAAAAGACTGAAATGACATGTTGATAGATGGCACTCCCTGCAATAAAAATGCTCCTGGTCTGGGCATCAGCACCTCCAAATGACAGACACAGCCCTGCAGTGGTTCAGCGAGGATTCAACTCGTTGGTTGTGTTTGATAATCACTTTTCAGCTGATTTAACAAAGGCCACCAGTTCTGGGTGGCAGGGAAATGTGAAAGGCAGGGGTGGAGATGGTGAGTTGGGCTGCACAAGCCCAGCTCTCCAGACACCCCACACACATGGCCTGGAGCTGTGTCAGGGCAGGGTCAGGTTGGATCTCAGCAAAAGGTTCTTCCCCCAGAGGCTGGTTGGGCACTGCCCAGGCTCCCCAGGGCAGTGGGCACAGCCCCAAGGCTGCCAGAGCTCCGGGAGGGTTTGGACAATGCTCTCAGGGACAGGGTGGGGTTGCTGGGGTGTCTGTGCAGGGCCAGGAGTTGGACTCCATGATCCTTGTGGGTCCCTCCTAGCTCAGGATATTCCATGATTTTGTGATCTGGTTGCTGTCGTTGGAGCCCGAAGCAGAACGTTGTCCCTGGGGAAGGGTCTGTCCTTGCTAAATCATGGAATGGCTTGGGTTGGGGGAGACCTTAAAGACCATCCAGTTCCACCCCCTGCCCTGGGCAGGGACACCTTCCACTAGCCCAGGTTGCTCCAACCTGGCCTTGGACACTTCCAGGGATGGGGCAGCCACAGCTTCTCTGGGAAGTGAAGCTTCATCGTGCAGCTCATGGAAACATGACTTTGTGCCTTCCCCCCTGAGCTGAGCCTTCCAGCTTCTCCCCATCCCTTTTCATTTCAGGAGGACAACACAAGCCTGGCTGCTCTCGCTCCAAGGGCTGTTTGTCCCACAGTGCCTGAGGGCAGCACTTTGGGCAGAGCAGAGGTGACAGTCCCAGCACAGAATCTTCTCAAGGCTTTGTGAAATCAGTTTGCAGCCACTTGGAAACGCTTGTCCCTGATGATTTCCCTGCAGCACCTCCACACCAAGCTGGGGGTGGTGTCTGGCCCAGCTGAGGATGCTGCTCTGGGGCTGCAAAGCTCCTGAGGCTTTGCTGCAAGATTCAAATGACCAAGGAAATGAGCGGAAGGAAGGAGCAGAGGGAAGTATCAGTCCCAATCTGCTCAGTCTTGTCATATTAAACACTAAAGATTATTTAAGTGCTTAAAGTAATGAGGAAAATGAGCTGTGCCTTAATGAGTTTTTAATTGCAGCAGCAAGAGGGGACTGCCCCCACCTGTCAAAAAAGCCACTGAGTCCTGCTGAATCCCAGTTGGAATTTAGATGAAGGGAGGTGAAGCTAAATCTCCTGTTTCTGCTATAAATAAACCCAAACCATGGATGATTTCCATGCACAAAAATAGCCCAACATTGACCAATTACTGTCCCAGAATCACAGGGTCAGGAAGGTTGGAATGGACCCGTAAGACCAAGTCCAAGCATCTCCCCAGCACTGCCAAGGTCACCTCTGGCCACGTCCCCAAGTGCCACATCCACATGTTTTTTGAGCACCTTCAGGGATTGGGACTCCACCACCTCCCTGGGCAGCCCCTTCCAGTGCCTGACCACCCTTTCCATGGAGAAATTCCTCCTGATGTCCAACCTGACCCTCCCCTGGCACAGCTTGAGGCCGTTCCCTCTCCTCCTGTCCCTTGTTCCCTGGGAGCAGAGCCCGACCCCCCCTGGCTCCCCCCTCCTGTCAGGGAGTTGCAGAGCCAGAAGGTCCCCCCTGAGCCTCCTTTTCTCCAGGCTGAGCCCCCCCAGCTCCCTCAGGTGCTCCTGCTGCTCCAGCCCCTTCCCCAGCTCCGTTCCTTTCCCTGGACACAAAAATGCTGGATGGTAACACAAACCTCTGGCTTTTGGAACATTCAAGACGACGAGTTGCACGTTCTAGACCTTAAATATAACCATCAACTGTGCCAGAGACATGCTGGCATTAGAACAGACTAAGGCAATAAATACATTGGATGCATATTTAATAACCCCAGGACTGATTCTCCCTTTACCATTGGCTTAAGGAAGAGAACAGGGTCCCACAGAGTTCAGACACTCATGGAAATGAGAACAAGTATTAAGCCCTGCAAGAATCTAAATCTCCATCCCCTCCACCCCACGAGCCTCTTTGGAGCAACACTGGATTAGCTCAGTTCATCTTAAATGGACGTCATTTATCTCCAGTATTTAACCAGGAAATCCCACTGGGATCAGCCCCATTTTCTGGCAGATGCTTTGCAGTGTCTCGTACTAATTGTTTGTTTATTTGCTTTGAGCACGACCCAGTTGTTGCCTTTTTAACCTGTCACAAAATGCTGAGCCCTGTCCACGTGCCAGATAAGCTTCATTCTCAAAGGAACACAAGAAATCACTTTTAATCAAAAATATCAAGTGACAATATCAATTCCCAGGTGACAAATGCTGTGTGAGCACCACAACTGCCAGGGCTGGACCAGAGGCCGGGGACACACTGGCAGGAGTTTTTGTCTGAGTTTTTGCAGGAAAGGGAATCCCAGCAGTAACCTTGAGACTAGACTGGAACACACTCAACCCTTCCTGTCTTCACTTGGGTTAGAATTGAACCCCTGACTTTATGTCCCATGATACAATCACAGAATCATGGAATGATTTGGGTTGGAAGGGAACTTAAAGCCCACCTTGTCCCACCTCCTGCCATGGGCAGGGACACCTTCCACTAGCCCAGGGTGCTCCAAGCCCCGTCCAACCTGGCCTTGGACACTTCCAGGGATGTTGGTAGTTTTTGGACCCTCATACCCCACAGCAACAAACCTCACTGATCATCAGCCACTCTCAGTCACTGTGAAACAGGTCCCTCACTCCTGGCCATGAAAAGGGAAAAACTGTGATGATGAAGTCACAGAAAACACAAAAGGCCAATATGGGATGATGCTGGATTTGGTGTGAGCTACTTCCCTCTGCAGAGCATCAAGTGTCACCTCCTGGAACAATACACTTGGTTGTTAAATTTGTTTAAAACCCTCTTGTTCTCCCACAAAAACATCCCAGATAAAAATCTGTGAGCAAGACCTTTCATCTAGCTTTGGGTCAATTTAAACACAATCTGTCTCAAGCAAAGCCAGGGAAGCCACCAGAGAAATCCATGATTTTTCAGAAAGGTCATTTAGACCCCAGTGTTGGGCCAGCACTGAGTGCTGTGGTAAGATCACAGAATCCCAGAATATGCCAAGTTGGAAGGACCCCCAAGGATCATGGAGTCCAACCCTCAGCCCTGCACAGGCCCAGCCCCAAGAGTCACCCCCTGTGCCCCAGAGGATCAGCCAAACCCTCCCTGAGCTCTGGCAGCCTTGGGGCTGTGCCCACTGCCCTGGGGAGCCTGGGCAGTGCCCAACCAGCCTCTGGGGGAAGAACCTTTTCCTGAGATCCAACCTGACCCTGCCCTGTGTGAACAGGAGCTCCAGCACTGCTGCTCACAACAGCACATCCACACTTCCAGGGAATCAACCTGCCTTTCTTCTTTTCCAAACCCAGATCCCAGGGCAGCACAGCTCTATTTACAACCTCAATTACATGGAAAAAAAATGGAGCCTCCTTCCTGTCCTGAGCCCTGACAACTCCTTCCTGCTGCTGGAGCTGAGGAGGAATTAGCTGTGCTCTTGTTCTCTCTCTCCTCTCTCCTGGGGCTGAGCTGCTGTCAGACCTCCTGTTTGCTTTGGAGAGCTTGGGAATATCATCCTCCCTTCACCAGGCTGGAAACAAAGAGCAAAGTGAAGAGGGTGTTTGTGGGGTTTGAGTGCACAGCTCACCTTGGAGCTGTGAAACGTTGGACTGTGGGTTTTCATCCGAGCTGGGACTGGGAAGGGAAGCCTTTCCCAACACTCCCAGACAGCAGAGGGATGTTGTATCCTTTAAAAAGGCTTAAACCCCAGTTTCCCCAGGTCCCTGAGGTCTTGGGATTAGAAACACAAGAGACTTTCCACATGTCAGCTTTTGGGACCAGAGCACAGGCACGACACTAAACTGTTCCCAGAGAAGGAAACTGAGGCACAAAACGTCCTTGATGTCCCTTGGCTTGAAGGCACCTGGCCAGGATGAGCTGCTGGGAATTCAGAGATATGTCCTATTTCTGGAAATAGCAAGGCACTGCACAGGTTGCCCAGGGAGGGTGTGGAGTCTCCCTCAGTGGGGACGTTCCAGAACCATCTGGACACAATCCTGTGCCATGTGCTCTGGGATGACCTTGCTTGACCAGATGCCCCACTGTGGTCCCTTCCAGCCTGACCCACTCTGGGATTCCTGCTTGCAAGTGGAATTGGGTGACATTAGACAGCACATACTTTTTATTATTAAAAATCCCCAAGAAACAGCAAACTCCCACTTGGATCAGCCCGAGAGAAGCCCCAAACCCACCCAGCAGACCCCTGTGTGTCCTGCCAGCCTCTGACCCCTGCAGCTGAGCAAGGCTGAGCCCTCAGTGCCACCAGCCCACTACATAGATCCTGGGAATGTCCCCCAGCCCCTCTCTGCCTCAGGGGGAAGTGTTCCAGAGATCCTCCTGTCCCAGCTGGAAGAGCCCCAGGAGCACATTTTTTGCTCACCTCCTTCCTCACCTACTTCCCTGGCAGTCCAAGGCATGATTTTTCCAGGGAAGAGCTGAGCTCTGGAAAAGCAGGACTAGGGGGGGAGAGGGAAGAGCAGCCCTGTGCCTTGGAGGAGGCAGATGTTTGCCCTGCAGAATTCCCAGGGGATCAGTGTTTGGAAACATTGATTTAAACCCAACTCATCGCACTAATTGGTGCCCAGGGCAGAGCAGCCTCAGCAGCACCAACACCCACAGCTCCATCCCTGCCCTCCAGCATCCTGGAGATCGGGAGTTCTTCCCACAGGAACACTCCTCCTGCTTGGCTTGACCCAAGGAATATGAAGCAGTTTGATACACAAGGTAAAAGTGAGGGTTTTTTCACCAAATCCTGATTTTGGATCAAGGTCTCAACTTCAGCAGCACATTCAGAGAGAGAGACCTCTCAGCCCTGATGGGTCAAAGCTTTTGGGTTTGTTCCACTGCAGCAAAGTCCGGGCTTTTTCTTCAAAAACAAGGTTAAAAAAATGAAGGAGGGAAGGGAAAGAAAAAGGAAAGGGAAAGTCCAGGAGTTGGAGCTGCACAAATCCAGAGGTAACTGAGCTGCTGGGTGCCAATGCTGAGAGTGGCTCTTCCCAGAGCATTTATAAGGTGCCTTTTTTACAAGTTTTAAACGTTTTTTTTACATTCCCTAAATCCATGAACCCCATGACAAAGCCCCTCCTGCCCTGCTGTGTACAAACACCAACCACATGACTAAACCTGATATTATCACCTTTTTCCCTGGCAAAATTTGACACCAGGATGGGAAGAATCACACCACAAACTGCCAGCTTGTCCCAGAATAATCTGTTCAAAGTGCTGGTTGACATAAAGAAGGAATGAACTAATATTAAAAGGAAGAGTTAAGTTCCTTACACGTCACTGAAATCTTGAGGAGAGTTTTACTCAGAAAGTTGAAGACTAAAGTGAGGGGGGAAATGGGGAGTTAAAAACTGGAAAAAAAAGATGGAAAAAAGGAAACAGCTCCAGGCAGCTCACCTTGACCTCGATGAAGTCTGGTTTTCCAAGGGATATCAGCTCAGCATAAGCTTTGAGTTCATCCACATTCCAAGCTTTCACCAGGGTCAGCCTGTAAACTGTGCGCTGTTCCTGGAATCAAGGAAAAAAATCCCATTAGTATCCCACTCTGGCACAGGGATGTTCCAGCCCTGGGACTTCAAACAGGAAAAAAGAGATTAAATCATTCCTTTATTCCAGAGATTGAACCAAAGCAGGAACCTCCTCACTTGTTCTTTCAAGGCATTTACTCCCCAGCATCGGAGCTGAGCCACCTCATTCCATAAAATGGCTGATATTCCTCCTGGATTTCCCAGGCACTTCGTTTTTACAGGAGCTTTAACTTAATGGGAAAATAACTAGGAAATTTAACTCTCTTTGATTTGCTTCCCCGGGCATAAAACGTCCCCATTAGTTACAGACGTTTTCGTTCCTCCAGCTGGATCATCTGGCACTGGTGACTTCCATAGGAACATGGAATCATCCAGGTTGGAAAAGCCCTCTGAGATCATCAAATCCAGCCAGTCCCCAGCACTGCCAAGGCCACCACTGTGTCCCCAAGGGCCACACCCACGTGTGTTAAATCCCCCCAGGGTTAGGGACTCCCCCACTGTCCTGGGCAGCTGTGCCAGGGCTGGACAAGCCTCTCCATGGAGGAATTTTCCCCACTATCCAACTTGAACAGTGACAGCACTCCCAGAGCTTCTGTCCTTGGAGTTGCTCTGATTTGCCCTCCAAGGGCTGCTCTCCAAAGAAGCTCCTGGGGACAAAAGGACTCTCGACACAAGCACTTGGCCACAGAACAAATCCACTCTCACCGTGACATCCGCTCGTTTCCATCTTTTCCTTCCCCTTCACCTCCTACTGATGTTTTATTTCACTTATTTTTGGAATTTTATTTTGCTTATTTTTGGAATTTTATTTTGCTTATTTTTTGAATTTTATTTCACTTATTTTTGGCATTTATTTACAGAGCAATTTTTCCAGCAAAAGTGCTGTTTGATTAACTCCTTTGCCATCTCCACATGCTGTAGACTATAAAATGGGACAGTTCAGCCAGAGGGAAAGAGCCCTCAACAAATCCACAGCAACAAATCCACAGCAGCTCCAGGCTCCTCAGCTGGGCCCAGGCTGGATCCCAGCCTGGATCCCATCAATTTTCTATAATTTTTGTGGCTTTTTGGTTCTTTTTATTATTTTTTATATTCTCTTGCGATTTTAGTTTGGCTTTTTTGTCCTTTCTAACCATTTTACCAGTTCTGGGTTTCTTTAGTCCTTTTTAACACTATTTCTCAAATTTATGTATTTTTTAATGTCTTTTTATAACTTTTAACCAATTTTGCCCATTTTCCTTCCCTTAACCCCGTTTATTTTTGCTCATTTTTTGCTAGTTTTGGTTCCTTTTTCCTAATTCCTTTTTTTTTTAATATTTCATAATTCACACCAATTTTATTGTATTTGTTGGTTGGGTTTGGCTGTTTTTAACCAAATTTGGGTGTTTTCCCCCCAGGCAATACCTGTCCCACAACCCCTGGCCGACCCCTCTGCATTTAAAGGGCTTTTTTTCCCCCCTCAGGGAAGCACTGACAAGGAATAACTGTGCATCCATCACTTCCATAATTAAACTATCCCAAAAACCTTGTTAATTAATCACAACTGGGGAGGTAAAGCAGGGAAAGAAACTCAAGTGGATACAGGAAACAGGTAGAAAAATCAAAATTTACTGTTGTGACTGAAGAAGCCTCTTTCCAGAGGGCAACATCTCTCAAGTGTTTTTAGGAAAAGCTGGAGAAGGGACACATCAAAATGACTAAACAGCCCCAAAATGTTCTCTGGGAGTAATCCTTGAGGAATGCCAGCAGTCAGATCGCTTTATTCATGTTTTATTTGTATTTGTTGTACAACAGAGCCCCAGGAGAGCCTCTTATAAGCACAGCAAAACAAGAAATAAAGAGCTTAAACCCCGAGAACTCAACGAGCCGAAGCGGCGGGATCTCAAAGCAGGCTGATGTTCTGCTCCCTGCTTTTCCCAGGAAAAGCAACTTATTTCCCCCCCTGCAGGCATCAGGAGAAGGGGAGAGGAAGAGGAGTTAATCAAATAACAAACCCTGTGGAGGGGGGTGAGTCAAGGGTGTGGAACTGCATCTGTTTGACACCAAAAAGCTCCCGGTGCAGAGCAGCAGCCCCGGGAAGGGGCAGGAGCACAGATGCCCATCAGGTGGCAAAGGAAATCCAGGTTATCAGGGCAGGCTGGTCTGAAACACAGCCCTGGGGTTTCCTTGGGATTGCCTGAGGTAATTGGTCCATGAAAGGCACCTTAATATAAAATATTGTCCAAGAAATATCTTAATGGGGGGAAAACCATTGAGAAGCACTTCGACTCAGTCCCTGAAATCTTTCCAGTCTCGCTGTCTGGAGGACACAAACCACCTCGGGGTTGGCAGGATGCTCAAGAAATAGAGATTCTGGGCTTTGTCCCTTGATGGATTCTCAAAGCTACAGAGCACCGGGCACCTTTCTCTATGGGGGTCCCAAAAATGCAAGTTCCAGGGTCCAGCTCAGCCTTCTGTTCCCCAAACGCTTTGAGGGCAAAGGAATGAAGATCCAACCTGGGGAAAAGCAGTATTTTCCCTTCAGGCAATTCCTGCTAAAAATTCCTGCTAAAATCCTGCCAGGCTGCCCCAAAAAAAGCATTGCAGCCTTTCAGTGGCAGGACAGGGCACAAGGGAAGCACAAATCTGAACAGGGTTAGGGGAGGATATTTAGGATAAAAAAAGCCTTTCATTGAGTGGATCTGAGGTCCTGGTCTCTCAGAAGATCTGGGAAGTGTCACGGCCCCAAGGCTGCCAGAGCTCAGGGAGTGTTTGGGCAACGCTCTCAGGGACAGGGTGGGATTTGGGGTGTCTGTGCAGGGCCAGGGCTTGGACTGGATCCTTGTGGGTCCCTTCCAGCTCAGGATATTCTATAATAATACTAATGCTGACACCTCCCGGGCCAGAAAGGGTTAATAAAGGATCTGGTGTCACTTTGACAAAGTGTTCCCTTCCCACTTCAATAACCAACAGGGACTGGGGCTGCTTCTTTTTTATAATTTCTTTTTAATTCCCTCCTCCTCAACATTCATCTTCTCGTAGATCAAATAGAATTATTCTCCACGAAACAGCCCAGGGCTGATCTCAGGAGGGACAGGGAAGGGGGGACACCCCAAATGTGCAGCAAAGAGCAGGGGGTGGAGTGATCCCAGCTGGGCTGGGGCAGGGCAGCATCATCTCCCTTCTCCAGGTGGGACAGGAGAGGAACATCATGTCCCTTCTCCAACCAAGGCAGGGGAGCATCTCCCTTCTCCAAATGGGAAAAGGGGAACATCTCCCTTCTCCAAGTGGGAAAAGGAAGCACCTCCCTCCTCCAGCCAAAGCAGGGAAACATCTCCCTTCTCCAAGTGGGGCAGAGGGAGCATTTCCCTTCTCCAAGTGGGGCAGGGGGAGCATCATCTCCCTTCTCCAAGTGAGACAGGAGAGGAACATCATCTCCCTTCTCCAGGTGGGGCAGAGGGAGCACCTCCCTTTTCCAAATGGGGCAGAGGGAGCATTTCCCTTCTCCAACCAAGGTAGGGGAGCATCTCCCTTCTCCAAGTGGGGCAGGAGAGGAACATCATCTCCCTTCTCCAAACGGGAAAAGGAAGCACCTCCCTCCTCCAGCCAAAGCAGGGGAACATCTCCCTTCTCCAAATGGGGCAGAGGGAGCATTTCCCTTTTCCAAGTGGGGCAGGGGGAGCATCATCTCCCTTCTCCAAGTGCAACGGGAGAGGAACATCATCTCCCTTCTCCAGGAGGGGTAGAGGGAGCATTTCCTTTCTCCAACCAAGGTAGGGGAACATCTCCCTTCCCCAGATGGGGCAGAGGGAGCATCATCTCCCTTCTCCAAGTGGGAAAAGGAAGCACCTCCCTCCTCCAGCCAAAGCAAAGGAGCAAGTGGGGATATTGGGGATATTCTCCAAGTGGGGCAGGGGCAGCATCATCTCCCTTCTCCAAAAGAGGCAGGAAAGCATCACCTCCCTTCTGAAGGGGTACAGGAGAGGAACATCATCTCCCTTCTCCACATGGGGCAGAGGAAGCATTTCCCTCTCCAAGTGGGGCAGGAGGAACATCATCTCCCTTCTCCAGATGGGACAGGGGAGCATCATCTCCCTTCTCCAACCCAGCCCTTCCCTTGGATGGTGTCCCTCGCACTGGCTCTGTTGTTCAGGCACAGGAACAGTGTCCCACCATTTGGGAGTAAATATAATAACCCCCTTATTTTTATCCCCACTTCCCAGCTCCAGGTCAGCCACCCTGAACACTCACACACCTTTCTTAGACACAGCTGAAGTTATTTCATTGTTAGAAAATGCCGTTTCCTGCCCAGACACCTCCAAGAAATGCCTATTTTTGCAGCTAATGAATCTCAATGTTGTCAACACAAACACTGAGCTGCTTGAACGGCAAAAGCACCCTCTGGGGAGAGGAAATGATGGTGCAAACTCCAAACAAAAATTGCTCTTTCCTTCACACAACTTCACAGAGCCTTTGCAGGAACTGGGGGACGAGCAGGAAGCCACTTCAAAGGTAGCTCCTTGGGCTCATTAGGATTTGCTCCCTCCCTTCAAGGGAAGGCTTGACTTGCAAAACGACTTCAGGACACATTTTCAGAGCTTCTGAGCTGGCAGGGACCTGCTCTGATCAGGGCACAAAACAGCCTGAAAACTGGAAGTGCAGCCCCACAGCCCAGCATTCCTGGAGCAACTGGAAAGCTGCCCTTTCCCAGCACTGGAAAAGTCCTTTCCCCAAACTCCAGCCTGTTCCCTTGCCTGGGTTATGCAACGACTTCCTAAGTGAGCAAGTGCTGAATAAAGATATCAAAGCAATTTTCACACTTGGAAATTACTTGTCACAGGGATGTGGATCAGGAAAAAAAAACCCTGGAGCCAAGAATGGCTTCAGCAGAGTCGGTAACGTGTGTTTTTATGCAGAAACCTCGGCAAGGATAAAGGATCCAAAATGCAGCAAAAGGGAATTTCAAATTCCAACACAACCCAAAATTTCACAGCTTTCCAA